TTTAACAACGAAATTGTTTAGAAATAGAGTTATATTTGGTTGGCTAAAGATTAGATTGGTGATTTTCACATTAACACCTTCCAATTTCCGGTCACCTGCAAGAATTCCCTCCTCCCCATCTCTCTCTCTCTCTCTCTCTCTCTCCTCTTCCTCTCTCTCTCTCCCTCTATTTTCCTCTTTGCCCACATAACCACCGGTTTCTCCCAGCCCATTTATCCTCCCCTTTGCCCGACCCCATTCCCATGAGGTTATCCAGGTGTTGCGGGATTGTTTTGACAAATATTTTGTTTCAGTCAAACTTTATTCACACATTATTACCCTCTTCTCCTCTTTATTTATATTATCCTTTCTTTCCCTCATTCCTCTTTATTTGGATTCATTCGGAGATGGAATATTTGCCATCGCTGTCTTGACATTTGCCTTTACCTTCCGGCTTCTAAACGACCTCCGCGATCTAAACCATCTCGGGGAAAAAAAATGTTTAAACAAAACAGGAAAACTAAAAAACAAATGTAGCCAAAAATATCAAAAAGGAATAACGTAAATTACAAAATTTGCATTACAAAGTAGATGGAGGCAATAGCAAGCATCTTTAAAAAGGACAAAAATAAAAACCTAGACCATGTATTAACCTCTTTGCCTGTCCTGTTATTCGGGGGAAATGAAGAGGTTCGAGTCAAATAATTGACAAGTTGGGATACGAGGCATTTTGTTTGACATGAGGTGATTGGTTTGCGGTGGTTGCGCCTGGTAATTGGCTTCACGGTTTGCTCTCTCTCTCTCTCTCTCTCTCTCTACCCCCCCCCCCCTTTCCTCTCTTCCTCTCTCTCTCTCTTTCTCTCTCTCCCTCTACCCCTCTTCCTTCCCCCCCCTCTCTCTCTCTCTCTCTCTCTTCCCCTTTCTCTTTCTCTATCTATCTATCTATCTATATATCTATATATATATATATATATAATTATTTTTCTACCCGCTCCTTTTCCTCCTCTCTTTTTAATTTTAGTTTATTTCATTTTTTGTATTCAGTTTCCTTTTCGGTCTCCCTATTCTTTATTTCCTCTCTTTCTATCCCTCTCCCCTTTACACGTATTCCTCTCTCTCTCTCTCTCTCCCCTCTCTCTCTCTCTCTCTCTCTCTCTCTACCCCTCTCACTTCTGCATTTTGAACACCTCGCTGAAGTATACTCAGGTGTTACAAGTATGTGACACAATTTTGATGGACGTCAAAGGGTCAAATAATATTGAAGCGGGGAAAAGGGGAAAGAATTGCAAACAGGACTTATTTACATTCAGATCTGTATCATCATCATGTTTATAATCATCTGAATGTGTTTGTTAATTTTGCTGCGTTATATCGTCTTTCATGTCACGGTGCAATTTCAAGACGAAATCAGGAGGAAAGTCAAATAGTTGTTTAGTTTTCGTCTCTATCTTATGACACAACTGTCGAATATTTTTCATTTCATTTTTCATAATTCTTTTCATTTTCAACAAAATACAATACACAATAAACGAATGCAATGTAAAATGTAATAAACAAATCTTTACAGTAACCTATACATTTGAGGAAGACACAAATTGAATTAAAAATTCAACTGTATATTATTTTGAGGGAATGGAGAGGTCCACTTAAAAGCAGAGCTTGTAAATTGGGGACCCCTCAGTGATAATGAGTGAGAAAAGAGTATAGAATATTCATTTGAGTGGGATCTATAGTAAGGATGCTTTTTTGCTTCTTAAAAAGCCGATGCCAGTTCTTTAAGAACCATTTCCTCCTATTTCTTTGAATTTGCTTCAGATAGCAAGGTATTTACAATAAATTGATCAGCTTTAACAGATTGAAATCATAAGAATATGACAGCTGGGTAGGCATGACATGGTCAATGTTTTACTCTCTTTTCTAGATCACTAGTGATTCAGTTTTTCTAACATTTTGACTACGTATACAAAATGTAGGCGTATAACAATACAAATATTGTTTATACTAGGAATAAGTTTAAAATATAAGTTCGATCTCAATTTCCTTTTCATGTGGGACTCTTGATATTACTATAAATTTCCTTTAATTTTCACGTTTTAAAAGCATACAATGCAATTAAACATTCTTTGCCCGTAAAACCTTTATTTATAAGGAAAAAAAGCCCATGTTTTAGAAAACTACATGTATAATACAAAATACGTTTTGAAATGAAAAACGGATGCAATTTTATTTGTTTCGGTTTATACCTTATCTTCTATTCAATACTGTATGAATAAGCAAATATTTATTTTTAAAAAGATAGACAGTGGCAGGCCTTCGGAGTACAGTAAGATGAGAAAAGTAGAGTAAGACGATAAGAAAATTTGATTAAAAAAGAAAGATAAAATCTTGCAGGCGAGATATGCCAACGTGAATATCGCATACATCATCGATTTAATGTATCGCTATTCCTACCCCCCCCCCAAAAAAAAGAAGATAAATGCATGAAAGAATTTTATTAGTATTCTTTCTTCGGTAAAGCGCTTTGACCATTCAAATAGTACCTTTAACATGTCTAAGCAGCTTATATAACTTTGTTTCATAATTTTGCGAATTCTCAACTTTTAAATGTTATTATTTTATTATGTTTATGGGAATGAATAACCATTTAAGAATACGAGTACAAAAAAAACATTAAGTACCCCGTGCTCATACATGATTCATTGCGTCTGTATTATAGACGTTCCCTGTTTTCATGAATAACCCGAGCCCCTGACCCCTACCCCTTTTTATCCCAGCAATTTCCCCCTGCATCCGCCGATGGCAATGACCTTCGGCCGGTGAGAACGTGCCGGAGACTGTACAAAACACACATCACCTTAACGCTGTTTGATGTGTTATTGTGTGTCCATCTCATACTCCCTGTCCCATCATCTATGGTAGAGCAAAGAGCACTGAAAGAAAAGCAAACAGGCAAACAAACACAAAAATATGATGACGATGAAGTGACCCTAAGATTGCACTTTTCTTTCTCAGGTGTTTCTCTCTGTTCTCTTTCTCTTTCTATCTCTCTCTCTCTCTCTGTTTCTCTGTCCTCTTTTCTCTTCTTTACTCGGTATGGTTCAGCTGCATTTTCATCATCTTTGAACTTTTAGTTGACATTTTACCTTCCAAACTAACTTTCTAGTGCAATTAGTCATCTCCAGTTGATTTCTTATTATGAGTTACACCTGTACTGCTCATTTACCAATCATGATTCCTAGCAGTGGCGTAGAGAAGTTCCAGTCGTTGAGGAGCTTTGTGGGGGAAGGGGGGAGGGGGGCGGTATATTAGGTGGACGATAATCAGTTAATTAACAATGTCGTCGATCGGTAAGGCGCGGGGGGGGGGGGGGTAGGAGGCTTTTTCGTCTATGTTAGCTCTAACGGCAGGTGTCACAACGGATAAGGAAAATGAACGAGAAACGTATTGGCGATTGTATGAAATAGTAAGATATGGATCAGTTAAACCACCTTTTTAGGTAAAAATTGACATTTTTGGGGTTCTAAATATTATTCCCCCCCCCCAAAAAAAAGGCATTTTTTAATAAAAAAATTAAATAAATTTTGATGCAGGATATAAAACAAATATACCATGCCTTATATTCGAGGTACTGGTTAGAACTATGGGCCTCGGTGACTCCAAAAATACCATTTGCTTCGGGGCGCAGTCACCTCCTGCGCGATAGTTTTAACCAGAACCTCTCAGAACCTTATGGAGCTCTCACACTCTGCCGTGTAGGCCTACCGTCCACCTGCCGGGCTATTAAAAAAAAAAACAGAGTCCAGAACGTTGGGTTTTGAGCGAACTTGTCCCCGGCCGCAAAAAAAAATTCATAAAATTAATCTTTTCACCGTTTCGTTGCCATCTTCTGACCGTTCTCACCGGGCGCATACCGGGTGTTGAACGTGCTTCTACCGTCTTCACCGCCCAGATTGACTTTTGTTAAAAATTTTGGCCGTTTCCATACCGGGCCCATACCGGGTCTCGAACGTGTGCACCGGGTTTGTAGCAGCCACCTACCAGTCACTTAGCGTCCCCTCACCGCTCGGAGCGTCCTGTGAGCTAGTCCCCGGACTGCTGACGTCATGACACGACTGCCATAAATACCCCGATTTGAACGGCAACGGTCAGTCCGCTCTCCATTTTTCATCACCGTTCTGTAACGGGTTATGAGCGTGTTGTGAACGTGTTCATACAGTGTGACCGTTTTCATAACGTATTCATACCGTCCTCATACCGTTCAACACCGTCCTCTTGCCGCTTACTTGCGGCCGGTGCCAGCCGGCCAAAGTTTTGAACATGCCCAAAACTTTCGCCGGGTCCCACCGGGTGTAAATAAGCGCCAACGCCCTATTAACGTGTTGTCCGCTTTGATAACGAACCGCCGTGTGCCCTCGCCGTTCTCCACCGTCCGCAGACATTTTCGCGCACGGTGGTACACGGTAGGCCTACACGGCAGAGTGTGAGAGTCACTTTATTGATAATTAGAACATTACAAGACTATTCACACAGTTTTGTATCATGTTTAATATGGGTATTTGTTTCAGTGCTTTCATTTAATCACTTAACAACAGTTTTTAAAATACATATCTGTTGCCAGTTCAGTTGGGAAATTGCGAAACAAAAGTAATAAAGATTGAGGGGAAGAGAAGTGATAATAATAAAAAGAGTGAGAGAGAGAGAGAGAGAGAGAGGGGGGGGGGGAGGGAAAGACGGGATGGGAGGGAGGACGAAAGTGATACAGAGAGACAGAGAAAGACAGAGAGACATGTAGACAGAATCAGGGAGACCCGACACGTGGATAAAAGAAAGATGAGTTGCAGAGGGGGCCTGATATGAGGTTTTGAGGGACCATTATTTGTATTGTTTATTTGTCATGATTCTTGGTTGTACCGTTGTTATAGAGGTGGCGCTGTTGTGGTAAAGGAGTGAGTGATGTCAATAAAATAGTTAGCATATGCCGATTAAAAAAAATTATCAATAATAATTTTCTTACTGAGGCCTTTTCAAATTGTATACCATTCGCTTTATTACAGAAGAATAGCTAAAATTCAAAGCACTTTTTGAAGACGGAAAAATGCGAAATGGTCCAAGTTGATACTGACAGCAAGTACAACAACTATTTTTGCCTCCTTCGTACTATGCGGGCTTTCAAAGGGGCTCTGTCTAAACAATTAAAACACGTACCAGATAAAAAATAAATAAAAACAAACAACACAAAACTAATCTATATACTTAAAATGAAAACATAGCAGAAGTATTAAAACTTAGTTACAATACATATATCGCATACATACAAGAAACAAAAACTTTACTCTTCTAAATATTATTTGGTAGACGTCCGGACAACGAAGCTTTTAACAAATAAAATATGTTGCGTTACTGAGTCGGTACATCAGGTAATTTTCTTTCAAAAAGACATGAATATTTCACTTCAGAATTTAATTCAGAGGTTTACTTTATCATCTGAAATATAATCTTTCAAAATTCAGACACGAGAGGACGCTTTTCACAATATCATAAAAGTACATTCCACTGCTTTCCTGAATGATATACACGTATCGTGTGATTTACGTTGCTAACAATCACTTTGACATCCTTATTCTATTAAAACACCACGGCCCAGAACAAAAATAAATAGAACAAATCTGATCTGTTCACATCTATTCTCACATGAAAAAAAAAAAGTTTTACTTTTACTCACCAATGTGAGGGCAATCATGCGCGTGAATACTTGCTAAATTTGAATTACAAGGTAATCATGATTTGGGCAAAATACCAGAAATGGGCAGGAAACCGCCACAAATTGATCAGAAACATAATTGTACTCATTATGGGCATTGCGCACCCAGTATCTTTTTAAGAGTGGTACGCTCTTTAAGTATTTTTTTTTACAAAGCAACCTAATAAATTACCAAGATGAGAACAAGAGACTCACCTGAATCTATCGAGATCCGGAAAACGACAATTCTATATACATAGTCATAGTATACTCAGTTGCACTCAATATAATAGCTGTTGTATTAAACGGACCAGAACAAGTATTTAACGAGACAAGAGAATCTTTAAACGATCATGATGATAGCCATTGAAAACTATTAGGGTATTTTTATAACCTAAGCTCAGTAAGCTGATTATATACACTGATTAGCTAATCGACATTTTCAAGCGAGCTATAACAGTTAACATTCTCCATAAACAGATCTACAATATACATAACGACTGTAACAAATGGAACAAATTATTTACAAAAAACACCTTTAACCATTAACCATTTATCTCCTGGAATCAGGCTTGGGCAATTTATTTCACTCTCAGATGGTGCGCCATAGGCCGCAACATTCGCAGAAGCGACAATGCGTTTATAGTCCAGAATCTGGCTGGTTCTTTACATTCCCTACACACTTGTTCGATTCAAGCCGCCGAAGATGGCGTTATCAACGAACTCATAGTCATGCTCACCAGCCCAGCCCGAGACTATTTTTCGTCGGGCATCCTAATTTAATGATCACGCCATCTTCGGCTGGTTGCAAGTAAGTAGGGGGTGGTAGCGTTGGTATGGTGGAGATCAAAATTAAATAGGCCAGATTCTGGACTAACATTGCGTATGCAAAGGGCCTTTAGTAGGCGTCGATGAACTAGTTAAGAAATGGGAGCTCAGTGTCGGAGCAAACTCAGTAAAAACATGATCGCGAAGACCTTTAAGAAATCAAACTAAGGGCAATATCGATTACCTATAGAATTACCTATAGCAAGTATATAAATTAATCAGAAGAAGAGAACGCCACCTCCGTTGGTCATTGCAGGTGGAGCAAAGGTGAAATCTTTTCACAAATGCTCTTCTGGTAGCCTTCAAGGTGCAAACGCAACAGAGGTCGCCTCGCAATGAATTTATGCAGTTCAACTAGGAAAAGAAATTTGTCTATCAAGGCAGGAACTCCTAAAGATCATGGAGATTAGAACTGGATGGGTAAACTTCTTTTGAAATCAATGCGAGTACGCTCGCCTATAAGAGTACAAAAATCATATTCAAATTATGTATAAATGTATGACATTGTCATGTTCGCATATTTCAATTGGTGATGCAAACAATTTATCCCGGTTATTGAAACTGGCTTACGTTGATTTTCTTTAAGTCTTTGCCATCGTATTTTAAAGTGCTTATGATATGAAAATTAAAAAAACAATAATAACAATGTGGTGACGTTATGGAGCCAAACTCTCCCTCATAAACCAACCACTTTCACCGGCCCGGCAACTTTAAACAAGATGGGGCGTCTTCATTTCAGATGCAACAGAAGATTTGTTCTGGTTGTCAACACGGAGAGGTATTTTGTAAGCGAGTTGCGGGTTACGGATCAAAGTGTATGCCACAAGCCAGCGGTTGCGGGCGATCCTCCTCTTCCTACTTGGTGATGGTGCCGCTGAATCTGAGGGGACAATATGTGAAACATTCCATTTGAAGAAAATCAAGATCTTTAAAGGCAAATTGTTTAGCAATGTTTATTCTGAGGTGCATGGCCCTACGCGTTATTAGTGTCTGTGATATGGTGTAATATTGAAGCCCTAACAAATTGCGCTTCAAAATGATCATGAATAATAATAATAATAATAATAATCTTTAAAGTCCACTCCAAATTTGATTAAGTTAAACCGAAAATGGAAATGCCTCAAAAAATTAAATATCTTTGAGTGACCAGTTTTACCATACTCATTTTCAAAATAGACTGTATTGTAATAAAAAACGAAAAATGAAATTTCGATTTCCAATCATAAATATCTTGATAATCATGGGATTGCTGGTTGACCTAAAAAAAAATAGAATCTGAGGCAATGTTACCGAGTCACTTTCTAAAAGATATGTTATGTAAAACCTCACTATTGTAATAAAAAAAAAATGAAAAATAAGAAAAAAGAGGAAAATTCGCTTGAAGGATTTATACATGTTAATTGAGCTCAGCTAAGCAAATAATGATGTCGCTCTTGTTGTTCTTGATTTGTTTTGTTATTTTCAGTTCTGTAGATGTTGGTGTTGTATAGGTATTTTTTTTCAAAAGAAAATATTTATTTGTTTTTTATTTACTTGTTCATTTATTCGTTTACGTATTTATGTATTATTCATTCATCTTTTCATTCACAAATTCATACAAATTATTATTTTTCTTTCTTTTTCTTATATTTATTCATTCAATTATTGTTTACCTTCCATTTCAGTGGTACACTCGCCTTCGGGTTTGTACTTCCTTTCATTGTTTGACCGACATAGCAGCTGACAGAACGTAACGAGCACGGGATGTGTCATGCTAACCTCAAGCGTGAGATATCCACGATAAGCCATGTAACCTAGGGAATCGGGAAGACAAAATGGAAAATAATATAATTATTACATTAAAGGGGAGGTCCATCCTGATATTACGTTGGTGTCAATAGAAGCAGACTAATGAGAGAAACAGTTCAGTGAAAGTTTCAGCAAAAACCGATTAAAAATTACGAATTAATTTTAATTTAACGCGCAATCAATCAAACTGCTCTGAAACCTTTCCTTAGGGAAAATCTAGCTTTTTTTTAAAAACATTTTTTGTTATTGTTTCTCTCATTTCTCTGGTTCTATTAAAACTAATAAAAAGATAAGGTTGCATGGAAAATCTCTTTAAAAAAAATGTTTGTTGATAAAAACGCACAATAATAAAAATATGGAGAGTGAATGATCACAAGGAACCTAGTTGAACAAAATCGACGTGGGCAAAGCTATTGAGAAAGCTCTTGCCTTATTGTGATATGTTTAACCCCCCCCCCCCCCCAAAAAAAAAAAAAAAAAATACAAAAAAACAAAACACTATTATTATTATTATTATGATGATGATGATGATGATGATGACGATGATGATAATCATTATTATTATTATTATTATTATTGTTATTATTATCATCATCATAACCACCATCATTATTATCAACACGACAACGGACCGTCATCCTACCACGATCGAAGCGTTCGAACCCGCGGACGAGGAGACACTGGTCAACTCGGCCAATGAGTACGAGCCCGACCACAGCCGCCTTCAAGATCCGAAAGATGCACCCCACTATTCCCAGAAGGACGGACAGGAAGATGTAGAAGAAAGTGATGATGTGAAACAAGTGCCTGTAAACGTATGAGCAAAATAAAAGAATGAAACGACTTTGAAACATGATGGGAAATTTGCAACACGATTGCATCTATATGGACTTTAGAAAAATCAAGCAATTACAATAGCTTTGTGTGTCACCTTTACTTGTAAAATATGCGAACATAACAATAAGGTATTACGTAATTCGAATATATGGTTTCCTTAGGACTTATACAATAAGTTATAGAAATTGCCCTTTAGTTGATTTTCCGAAAATAGCTTGTATTATATTGCATAATTTTATTCTCGCAACTGGATTTAAAACGTTAGTAAAAAGTAATACATTCGTAGATGACTAGCCGTTCTTCTTGGTCTCTGTATATATATATATATATATATTATCACATAACTAACTAACAAGTTAGCAAAATTGAATGTAGTCGGAAAATTAGGTTACATTTTTACCCCAACACTGGAATCCATTGACTAAATTATTTTTAAATCCTCCAAATGATGTTCGTTCTTAGAATCTCATAATAATTCAAATGTTTTATACTTGTCTAAATGACAAGACTGTTTAATATCTACTAAACAATATTCTTGATTTAATTTCTTTTTTATAAACCAATGAAAATAAAGAATAAAGTCACTCGCTTGGAAATGAAACGTAAACATGTACAATACTTAATTATTGTCTACCCATTCACTCACAGGTTCTTTAGTACAAGTGCGCCATCTTCGTTCGCTTGGAGGAGAACACAACGAGCAACAATTTGAAGAGCGATGTAGAGAAAAAGAAACATCACAGGGTGTAGCCTGGAAAGATGAATAAAATATCAAAACTATCAGTGGCATACCTCCTGGGGTCATAAGGGGACTGCCACCCCTCCACAGACGGACGGCGAGGGAGAGAGAGAGAGAGAGAGAGAGAGAGAGAAGAATAATAGGAGGGTATGTATTGTAAACCTACTAGTATCTCGTTGGGTTTGGGATATGTTCGAACAAGTGATAAGTATTAAGAGAACAATTATTTTAAGATCTGTTTGTAAAAAATCGCAATTTTTCATTTCATCACCTATATTCATAAAATATCTTTTAAGTGTATTCAAATTATAATTTATTCGAATGATAAGAGAGTGAAATTGGAAACATCCGGCAAAAATTGAATGATTTTTTGGTTGTTGACGGTTGACGATTACAATAGATGATGTATTAACATTTTTACGAAGGTGGTAACAAAAAAGTCAGACCAATAGATAGAATATAAAAAATAATGATACGAGTAGATACCAGTAATTTCTCATCAGCATAACAAATAGGCCGGACTGAAAGAGCAGACTGAGTACGAAGAATATTGCCCAGAGCATAACTTGTAGCACAATGAATCCTGAAAACAAAATCAAGAGTATAACATGATGTAGAAGACAATATGAACTTGTGAATTTTGTTTCTTCCCTGTAAAGCTCGGGATTTGTTAACAGAGGTAACAAAGGGCGGGGTAATGAAGGAAGGGCGCGGAGTGGAGTATATGCATTTAAATGCTTAACATTTTATTTACAACATTAAATTTAGAAGAAAGCTTGTGCGCCCTCTACACTTTTTAAAGATGACTCTTGTTTGGAAAGTCATGGGTTTCATTTTCAAGATTTGGTCGAGTTCCGGTCATGCAATTGCATTGTGAGAGAAATGGTGTGGAATCGATCAGAAAAAAAAAATTCGATCATGTAGCACATAAATATTAGTGTGTACTGCAAGGTTCTGGAGTCGCCAAAATCATAAGCAATTTGGCAGTCTTGGTAAAGTAACTAGTACTGTATACAGAAAGATGTATATGGGACTACACGAACATGTGGCATGAAAACAAAAATCGGGCTATCATCTTAAGCTGTTACTCCCGTGTAGAATTTGTGGCATTTGAAGAGCAATGCTTTTCAGGGATCAATTTTCCCTGATGTTCTCCCACAGCTAGCTAGTAGACTCTTCTCATTGGTGGGTCAATTGTGCGGGGTATTCCGCAATTAAGCCCCTTTCTTCTCGTAATTTAACCTTGTACTTTTAATACCAAGCATGATATTTTGAAGGTGGTATCCTGCACCATATCCTTAGATATTACAATGTGTCCAGAGAAGCCAAGTCTCTGTCTCGCAATCATGGCCTCCAATTAAAACCTCACATCTCCCTGGTTGTAGGTTTAATCAAGCACTGATCTGTTCTGCTGGCTGTCCGTGTGATCCTACGCATCCTGTGCCAACCCCATGATTTTTCTTCAAATGAGCCCAAATTCTTTCACCTTTTCTTCTTCTCTTTTTACTGTCCAGCATACACTTCCATACATCACCACGGAGAAGACTATTCGTCCTCATCTATATTATTGTTTTGCTTACATCTTTGTATGCCATTATCTTACAACATGAATAAATGTGTTAAAAAATAAAAAAAATACTAACCAGTGATGAGAAAGGCAATGGTGTATCCACTAAACTTCAAAGCTGAGACCTAAAAAAGAAACACATGGGACGAATTTAAAGGTAAAGTTGAAAGCTTGTGACGCGAAAAGCCACTTCGGAGATACTACATGTATCTTTGCACGGGCTGATAAAGGTCATTTGTACCATGGCTAAGCCATGTTTGTACAAAATAAATTAATAGGGACCTTTAGATTTGCACGTCGACATAGTGGACTGCTACGTGTGACGTCCTTTTGAGGCACTGTGAAGTCCTTTTAATGCACTGCCGGTGCCTTAAAAGGACGTCACACGTAGCAGTCCACAATGTCGACGTGCACATCTAAAATTCAACATTGAAGCCCATCGATACGACTGTTGGATACATGCTATCGAAGGGTATGTAATTACTATTCATTTATGCACGGGCGTACCATTCTACTCAGGTGGAAGGATTATTTTTAAGACGGCAAACAAAGGTATTCATGAAGGACCTCTATTACTGTAGCAGTGACTATTCTGAAATGGACAAAGAGGGACACCTTCCTGTGTAAAAGATCTGTAGACAATTGGGGGTAATTTGTACAAGTCCCATCTCCGAAATCGCTGTTTACCTGGTAAAAGAAATTGTCGTGAAGCTTACGGTAAAGGTCTCCTTTATGTAGTACATGTATAGGCCTATGGCGTGATGCTTTGGAATAATCGGAAGGAAAACAAACTGACACAAACTAGAAAGAACATTATGTGGGACTATACGTATGGCATGAAAATTTGCTATGAATTTCTTAGCTATTTCTCTTTATGAGGCCTTTGAAGAGCTATCTTCATAATTCCTACTTTGCTATATTCCTCCTAAAATGTATATCTATATAGAATGAAAGAGGAAGCTCACAAACTATTTTTCATTTTACAAGGACTGTTCGAACCTCAGCCACTGCTTACAACACATGTATATAATATTCTTCTTAAACAGTTACTAGAAAAACTTACCACAACTCTAGGGGGTGTCTGTTGTATGTAGGTCAAGGAGTAATCGCCTATCCAAAGACTACGTGTATGGTTCCTATAAATTGAATAATGTAGGGAGATAAATGGCACTTTAATAATATAACAACATATGCCATTGTGCCGTATCACTTACAAAGTGATGAACCACAAATGTATTACTATTAGCAGCCGGCTGGATTTGCGCATAATTAAGTAGAAGCGTGTTGCGAATGTATGTGCAGGACTTTTTGTCCAATTCCTCAAAAGTTCCCCATTTTACAGTTGTTTTTAAATCAAGTTGCAATGGTTGACAATAAGGCATAGAATGGCATTTAAGATACTTTTGCTTGTTTACAGAGCACTGAAAGATCAAGCCCCAAATAATTTGTTCGAATTGTTATCTTCCAAATCACATCCAGGTACACGTAACTGATAAGGTAAACAGGAGAGGCTGCCTCACACAAAAACAGATAAGTAACTCTTGCAAATTTCACTTTTAGTTGCGCCGCTCCGAAACTTTGGAATAACATACCATTAGATATTAGCAAACTCTCATCTTTACTGTCTTCAAAGTCGCACTTTTTTCAGGAGCTCTTGAATTTTTTCTAGCGGCGAATCATCATCATCTTATTATCATCATCTTCATCACCATCATCATCATCATCAATATCGTCCTCATCATCATCATCGTCATGTTCGTCATCATTATCATCATCTTCATCACCATCATCATCGACGTAATTGTCATCACCGCCATCGTCTTCATCATCATTTCAATCATTATCGACGTCATACCATCCTCATTATTCTCATCATTATCATAATCATAATCATCACCGTCATCATCATCATCATCGTCATCATTATCGTCGTCACCCTGATCATCATAACACCATGAAAATCGCATGAATTACCTGTAGTTACGCAGAGTGAAGAAACTGTTCGTGACAGCGATGACAAATGCCAAAATACATGATGCATAAAAGGTAGCTGTCAAGTGCGCACATGTAAGAAAAACATCATTTTTATTGGTATTACTTGAAATACAGGTTTGGCATATTATTTAGAGAGTTGTTTCCCATTTTTGCCTCATGAGTTGTGTTCACTATAAAATGGAATTTTTAAAAATTGTGTCACTTCATATACATGTACCAAGGTAGATCTACCAATCCGTATCCGGACACCTACCCCCTGGACACCCACCCCCGGATAACCACCCCAGTCAACTACCCTCTAGGGCAACTACCACCGGACAACTACCCCCCGGACAACTACCCCCTAGGACAACTCCCTCCGGGGTAGGTGTCCCAGAGGATGGTTGTCGTAGAGGGTAGTTGTCTGCGGGGTAGTTGTCCGGGGGTAGTTGTCCTAGGGGGTAGCTGTCCTAATGCGTAGTTGTCCCGGGGGAAGTCGTCCTAGAGGGTTGTTGCCCTAGGGGGCAGTTATCCTAGGGGGTAGTTGTCCTAGGGGGTAGTTGACTGGTGGTGGATGTCCAGGGGGTAGGTGTCCTAGAACCCTACCAATCATGCTAATTATGCACAGATAAGATTTGATTCCTACATTGGTTACTACATGAATACATGATAGACGTAAAATGATTTTTCTTTTCATGTTGCTAACGATAGCAATTGTTGATTTTTACCGTTCAAGCAGTGTTACTCACCATCTATAGTTTGTAGCCAATCCGGATCAATTACTACCAACCAGGGCTGCACAACCGCGACGTAATAAGCACATGTCTGTATAATAATGATATAAACATGTAGGAATTGAGTTTGAATCCTTCCGTGTTCCATTACAATATCTTAATGGTCAGATTCATTAATTTCCTCTTGAATTAAACCGTTAGAGATTTGTAACTTAATATATTCAAATTTTGCATTGTTACGGTCAAAAATAAAGTTTTTAAACAACAGGGCTGCTTCAAGGTTCGTTCGTTCGTTCGTTCGTGTCTCCTTAGATCAAGATTACTGTAATCTTGATCTTCGGAGTAGTTGCTACAACCGGCCGTGTCAGACACGTTGCCCCGGGTGCGAGATAGGACTCTTGTAGCGTGCCCCCATTTAAAACAATTATACAGTTACAGTTAACAATACATTTAATTAATAGTATGAAACTATTAAAATTACTCTCATGTTACGGGTAAAAATATTGCATATACATATATTATGAATCAATTGATTTGGTCGATCCAGTTCGATGGCACAAACACGGCACTACTGGACAGAGATCCTAATAAAAAAGGTAGGATTCTATGATACGGCTGTAAACTTATATGAAATTGTATCATCTGACAACGAAAAAGGTACAACATGCACATTACTAGATATGACAGCAAGAATGCATTTGAAATCATTGTTATTGTCAGGAGTGATTCGTCAAATTAATAACATTTGTAGTGACCCCATCATTTTTTTTACAAGAGTCTCTGTGATGTCAGTGCCCTGTCTTTGTGCTTGTGCAATCTCCTCCAAATTTCATCTTTTTTGTGCTATAGATCTTTGAAATAATCGTTAAAACCTATTTTTAGACGACAAGCAAGGACAGTTGAAGTTCAAGGATGGCTTTTGAGGGATTTTTTGCGTAGGATTGCAGAGATTTTAGAGGATTCTTTTCCACCCAGTGGCATTTGTTTGAATGATACACTCTCACTCCTGTCCCATACATTAGGTTTAATGTTGGACATAGTCTACCCAAGTTGTGTGGAGACATCAATGAGTGCCTGCTGACTTTAAGTTTAACAGCAGCCATGGACCTCTTTGTGTATATGTGATTTCACAATGATACAGCAAGTATTTATTTTACCAATGTGATTTTTGATATCGATATTGACTGATTGTCTATTATTCTGCATGCATGCTGAGTGAGTTTGAGACTAGGTAAGATTCAGATCTATGGTTTGACAGCTTATACTAAACCTATGCTGTCATCATGCCTAGCCTTCTCCTAGATCACCTTTGCTGGATATTCCTAGCAGCTTCTGTCATCAACATTCATGTACATCGAGGGCATATCGTGTCTGATCGTGAAACTACATGTACACGTAGCTGCAGAAATAGACCCATTTTACTCAAGACAGAGTGTAGGGATGATCCTGAGTTGACGAACTTGCATATGTATCAGAACATGAGCTACAACGGCAATCACCTTGGCAAGCCTAAGAGTAACGATGCCAACTGGTTGCAGGATTCTCTATTCATGTCAACACTCGCCCGCAAGAAATCAAGGAATTGTCAGTACACTATACACTGTAAGAGACATACTCTACTTTACTTGAGTTTTATATTGTTATCAAATGCTGCTGACATTGAACTGAACCCGGGGCCCAGAGCACTGAAATACCCATGCCAGATATGTTCACGTGCTGTAACGTGGAAACATCGTGGTGTAGCTTGTGATGACTGCGATCAGTGGCACCACGCTGACTGCATGGAAATGTCAGCACAAGTGTATGAAGCCGTGAACAGTGTGTCCTGGCATTGTATTAGATGTGGCATGCCTCAGTTCTCGTCCAGCCTCTTTAACTCCACAAACATAGAGGTCAGCAACACATTTGATGTTTTAGGATCGAGTGATGTCACTACAAGCAGCATAGAGACACCGACCAATAGCTCTTCATTATCTGTGAATGGCCCTGGGTCACCACTGCGGACATATCATAGCCAGTAAATGTGAGAAAGTCATCTTTGCCAGTAAACGACAGAAGGGAGAAACAACACACCAAACCTAGAACTATGAAAGTGCTCAACATAAACTTTCAGAGCATCAGGAATAAGAAGGAAGAATTGGCTGTACTCATTGAGACAACATATCCTTCTGTGATTATTGGTACAGAAACTTGGCTCAATCCTACCATCAGTAGTTCAGAGATCTTCCCTTCCAATTTTGAAGTAATTCGCAAAGACAGGCAAGATGGCTATGGCGGAGTACTACTGGCGATAAGGAATGATCTCATGTACGACTTCATGGACACGACAAATACTGGGGAGTAGGTCTTTGCTAAACTTTCATTCGGGGCTAACGTCAAGTTAATAATTGGTGCTTTGTACCGTCCCCCAAACAGTGACATTATCTCAATGACCTCTGTTCTATTGTTGAGAAGGTTGCATCCAGAAACAAGAAAGCAGCTTTGTGGATTGGTGGTGATCTGAACCTCCCAGATATTGATTGGGTGAACCTCAGCATCAGCGGTCATAACTATCCAGCGAACATGAACAACAGATTGTTGGACATGACTTATAACTGCGGCCTCCAACAGATGGTAACTTTTGCCACACGTGGAAAGAGCATTTTGGACTTATTTCTGACCAACCGACCATCTCTGGTCAACAAGTGCACCCCACTACCAGGACTTGGGGACCATGACATAGCCAGTGTTGACACAGATGTAACAGCAAAGAGGCGAAAACCAGTGAAGAGGTTAGTGCACATCTGGAAGAATGCCAACCTTGAGGAAATGAAGAGCGAGTGCCACGTATATCAACAGCACGTCATTAAAACCCATAATGAACTGAGCTCTGTCACTAACATGTGGGAAGAAATCAAGACCACCTTACAGAACTTGCTCCAAAAGCATGTACCGTCAAAGATGACCTCAAGCCGTTTCAATCAGCCGTGGATCACCTCTTCAGTTAAGCGGCTTGCCAGAAGGAAGAAACGTGCTTTTGTACGAGCTCGCTCTATCAGCCAGCCATAAGTTTTCCAAAAGTACAAAGATCTGAACAAGTCTTCGCGGATGGCCTGCAAACAAGCGTAGAGTGACTACATTAATCACATTATAAGTCCAGACATGACCTCGAATTCTAAGCGCTTTTGGAGCTTTATCAACAGCAAGAGGAATGACAACACTGGAGTAGCACCTCTTAAAGCTCAAAGTGGAAGGACAATCTCAGATAGCACTGGAAAGGCACACATCTTGAATGATCAGTTTGCACCTGTCTTTAACGAGGATGAAAATATGAACACCATCAAAGACAAGGGACAAAGCCCTTATCCAGACATGGACAAAATCCACATCGATCCTGCTGGAGTGTACAAGCTGCTATCAACTCTGCAGATAACCGGAGTGTTGGCTCAGTCAGTAGAGCGTCCGCCTCACAACCGGGAGGTCGTGGGTTCGAACCCCGGCCGCGTCATACCAAAAGACGTTAAAAGATGGGAGTTGTTGCTACCTTGTTTGGCGTTCAACAATAAGGGGATAGAGCAACGTCGATCTGGCGCTGCTCAGTGGCTGCCGGGCTCACGATCAATTGGGCAAAAAGAATTTCCGTTTCGGTTTAATAAAATTTGGAGTGGACTATTAGATTATTATTATTAAAAAAAAAAAAAAAAAAAAAAAAAAAAACTCTGCAGCTACACAAGGCTACTGGTCCAGATGGTCTACACGCAAGGCTCCTGAAGGAGCTTGCCATGGAGCTTACACCCATCTTCACTATCCTCTTTCAAGCATCAGTCGACCAAGGCATCATTCCTGGTGACTGGAAGAAAGCTGATGTAGTTCCTATCTTCAAGAAGGGAGAGAGATGTAAAGCGGAAAACTACAGACCAATCTCACTGACCTCCATTGTGTGCAAGAACTTATTGGAACATATCGTCTGCAGTAGTATTCTTGATCATCTCGACAACCATAACATCTTAAGTGATGCCCAACATGGCTTTCGTAAGAAGCGCTCATGCACATCTCAATTATTACTAACTGTGCATGATCTTGCCAAAGGCATTGAAGATGGCGAACAACTTGATGTTATTCTTTTGGACCTGTCGAAAGCCTTTGACAAGGTTCCCCATGGTAGGCTGATGTACAAAGTCAACTATTATGGAATCAGAGACAGTACCCATGACTGGATTGATAGTCTACTCAGCAACCGTTCCCAGAGGGTTCTGCTTAAAGGAGTAGCGTCACATACATCACCTGTTCTTTCAGGGGTTCCGCAAGGTAGCGTGGTCGGACCTCTGCTCTTCCTCCTCTTCATCAACGACCTCCCAGAGTATGTTTCAGCACAGTCTACGGTGAGGCTCTTCGCTGATGACTGCATCATGTACAGAAAGGTCAAGACACAGGAAGATACTGAACAACTGCAGAGGGACCTGGACGCTCTTCAAGTATGGGAAGCAGACTGGCTAATGCAATTTTACCCGCATAAATGCCAAGTTATGCATGTTACCAATAAGAGGAAGGTACTCAAGAGCTCAACACACTACTGCATCCATGGAACGCCTCTGATGGAAACCGAGAAAACTAAACACCTTGGTGTTAACGTCCAGGTAAACATGAAGTGGAATCACCATGTGGATGTCATTGCCAAGTCGGCAAATTCTGTTAGCAGCTTCCTGCAGAGGAATATCAGAGACTGCCCTCTCGGGACAGAAGTGTTGTGCTACAAAACACTTGTCCTTCCAGTACTGGAGTATGCTGCTGTGGTATGGGATACATTTACCCAGAAGAACATCACAAGGCTAGAAATGATACAACGTCGCTATGCCCGTTTTGCCTTAAGAGACTTTAGGCGTACAAGCAGCGTAACTGATAAAGCAACTCCAGTGGACCACACTTCAGGAAAGAAGGGCACGACAGAGAGTATGTATGGTCTACTGCATAATCCACAGACTAATTGACATTCCAGCTGACGTACATCTCATTCCAACCGCTGGGCCATCTACACGTGGGAATCCAGACAAGTTCCAAGTCCCCTTCGCCAGAACCCAAACGTATCAAAAGACATTCTTTCCTGGTGCGATCAGACTATCCCGACTATAGTCAACAGCACCTCCTTAGTGATCTTCAAGCAGGGGGTGCAACAAATGAGGCTTCGTTAAGCCTCTCCTGTTTTTTAGCCGCACATAGTATCAACTTGAAGTGAGATTTTTTTACTTGCACTATTCATCTGGGCACTCGACAAGCGCAAGTACGATAATACGCCAACGGCGGTCTGTACTTTACTGGAAGAAGAAGAAGAAGAAGAAGAAAAAGAAGAAGAAATGCTACGATCTTTGGACGACTACTTGAGCCTGTTTCAAATATATTTTCACATTGAGTCAAAAATTGCAAACAATTTAATTTCCCTTTCAATCAAGCACAAGCTGTGTTTATGATGCCCCCTTTAACCTGTGTATGATGCTATATTAACATTCAGTTATTGTGATGATATGTAGGCCATATGAAAAATAAATAATTACCTACCAATCAATCAATCACTTAATCATATTTCTTTTCTTTCATTCCTTTTTTGCCTTTCTTTATTTGTTGGGGGGGGGGGGGGCGGGGCCTACCTGATACATGCAGGCAACAGCGAGACCTACTGTGCAAACGATGCGAGTAGAATATTTGAATCCTGAAATATAGATAGATAGGGGGCGGGGCCTACCTGATACATGCAGGCAACAGCGAGACCTACTGTGCAAACGATGCGAGTAGAGTATTTGAATCCTGAAATATAGATAGAATGGGATAGAAAAAAGTGTAGACACATCATCAATAAACATACATAATACATGCAAATTTTCATCTGATGTTTGGAAGCCAATCGGATTTCAGTTTTAGTATCAATTTTAAATTAAATTTCGATTTACGTTGCGCATAAACAAGAGAAAGATATCCATGATGTATGTATGTGTAAATGACCAGTTACAGTCATGGATATGTATTTTTTTTTTAAATATCAGCAGACAGTATTTTTCTTTAAAAAATCTAAATGCAACACAATATTAATAACCAAGAACAAAATGTTAGCAGTACAACATTAAATAAGTACGCCATGTAATTAGAAAAAAATATGCATTTAGCAATAAACCAATGATTTTAGAGCAAAATTAAAACATAATTTTAAAAAAGGGAGGAGAAAAAAAGTTTACCTGGTATGTTTGGGTAAAATCTTCTGAAAAGGGTCGTTGCTGCTCCGCCTGACTTGTTCCTACTGGAATTTGAACGAAAAAGTAAACACACCTGGAGAGTCTAGATACTAGTACTAAATTCCCCGACTTTGATGATATTAGAGTTTCGATTATATATTATTTCAAAAATGAAAAGCATATTGCAGATTCGAATTGCAGAAATAATAAATTCACAAGAAAATGGTTTCAATTTTGACTTTTTTTTTGTTTGTTTGTTAAGATAACATGATATTTTTCTGTATTCTTTTTTTCTTTCCATTAATATCAACAAAAAAATATTTAAAGTTTGTTAATTTTCTGTTAACTTAATAGTTCAACAATACTTATATCTTGAGAAGTCAATTTTATTTTTGTTATAAATGTAAATTACCTTGAAAATATATTTGTTAATTTGTTGCAAATGCAAATCAATAAAATCCCTGTGGAGGGAAAAATATGGAGTAAAATAAAATTTCCCATTGCAATTATTAGACTGAAAAAGGAATTGTAGGCTCGGAGGCCAGATAGATATAGATATAGCCAGAAGAAGACCTATTTATCTAACAGGTCTGGATAGATATAATAATTAACCAAATATATCAATTAGTAGGCGGTTTCCCGGCAAAATTTGTATAATCACGTATTAGTCAAAACATATTCTTTTACATGATTGGTAATAAGAGCTTCCATTTAATATTTTTGAGAGGGGGGCGTTTCCAAAACTTGCCTTTTCCTTTAGCTCGACAGTTCAACAAATATTTTTTGTCTTGAGTAGTCAACTTTATTTATATTATAAATGTTAACTACCTCGATTTTATGTTTGTTAATTTGTTGCAAATGAAAAAAAATCATTATAATCCCTATGGAGGGAAAAGTATGAAATGTTTTTGTTTATAGGCAATGCAATACGTGTGCTCAAAATTTCAGGCAACTTACAGTCAAGAGTTTGGTAGCTTTTTAATCAAATCAAACTTAACAAACGTTTTGCCAAATCCTTACCTTGCCCACGCGGTGGTGGACAACAACAGATACCGAACTCGAACGCAGTAGTGTGTATCCTCGAATTGCTTTTCCTCCTGGGTGATCCACCATGAAAAATTAAAAAGGAAGCATCGATTTATTCGTGTGTTATGTATGGTTTATTTTTGTAGGTTTTATGCTGTTAAATTAAGACAGAGTTAGAACAGTTCATTATGATAATCATTTGATAATCATTCAAAGCAAAGACATAATTTCAATACACGTTTCCATGGTTACCTGATCTGCAGTAAGAAATCGTCTGCACATGCGCACTATCCTCCGGATGAAGTAAACTTCGAGCCCAATAAGAGAGAGGACAACGGGTATGTCTACAGCTCCTTGTATATCGCCCCCTTCCGTCTAAAAGAGAAAAGAACCTTGTAATCCCACTCATTCAGCCTAACCACCAAGACCTGGGCCCTGTTTCATAGAACGTGTTATCAATAACAAATTCCTGTTACTGCTATAAGCTACTGAAATCGTGGCGTTTAATTGGTTGAGAGCAAATTTGTCATAGAAGTTTAGCATTTGTTATTCACAAATAGGGCCTCGGAAAAGGGCCCAGATTCTGGCCATTTTTTAATAATTTACCTTTCGGTGCGTGCATGCGCGAGCTAAAGGAAAAGGCGCTATTTCAAATGCCTTTTGGATTAGATTGGAGTGGCTCATCGCACGAATTCACATACCGGAAAAAAGAAAATATTCTGAGAGTGTGTATCCGTGCGTAATTCTGCGGGTGGGCGAGTACGTTGTCAAGACAAATTGAGAGCAGTCCTTGAGAGTAGTAATCAAACCCGACACTTGGTCTAAGATCATGTTTAACTAATGGAAAAGTTAGAACTCAGACTATCTTATCTTTTGGACAAAATATAAAACCCAGCGACCCAGCATTTGGGTTAAAAGTAAATACATCGAGCCCTTTAAAGGCCAAGAAGCTGGCCAAAATTAGATTCGCAGAGTAAAAAGTTCTCCCTCCCCTCTAGTTGAATAAAACAAATGCTATGTCACCTCCCTATAGACGCATTACAACAAATGTATCAATAAAAACAAATATTACACTACACAATGGTAGGTGAATGGATGAATCATATAGATGCCCTAGATGCATTCTTATTCGTCCCTCCCTCAACGGCTGGACCAATTCTAAACCATTGATTGTAATTGTCCTTAATATGTTGCAAGCGAGTGACTCACCCCGAATGGACATATGATGAATCTGGAGATAGTAAAGGCCAACCTGTATAAAAATAATACAAGAAACACTTCATTTCCAAATCAATAAGGGAAAAAAATGCTGAAGCGTACTTTCTCATTAAACGTGATACCTCTTAACACCTACAAGGTTAGAATACTGACAGGTAGTTTCAGGTCGGACTAAGGAGGTTTATGCGTTGAAACGCGTCATATGACGCACATAAACCTCATTTGTGAATTCGGGCCTATATAGGTTTAATGAATTTATCAAAAGACATTTTATTTATTTTTGTATTTATCAGGAAGACTCCATTTACACGTATATTAACATTTTATTTTACAAAACATAAGTATAATAAAAACAAATATGACAATTACTACACAAATTTGGAAATTTATATATAGATTAAGTTAAATATAATCAACTACTGAATAAATCGTAAATATTGGCTCACTGAATTAACTAGACAAAAACAACAACTTGTTTTGATAATACTGCGGAGTACTAGTATTTAAGTTTAAAGTTGACATGTTTAATGTTGGTAAATCATGGTATAGAAAAAAAAAAGTAAAGGAAGGAGAATATGAAGAAGTAGTAAAAAAGGAACAAGAGTAAAAGAAGAAGAAGAAGAAGAAGAAGAAGAAGAAGAATAAAAATAGAAGAACAAGGAAAGGGGAAGAGAAATGAGAAAGAAAAGAAAAGAAAAAGATACAAAAACCTGACTAGTGATTAACCTCCCTCCACAGTTGCCATTTTTTTGTTTGATTGATCGCAACCTAAAAAAAACCCATCATAACTTTCTTATTTTTAATCGGAATTAGCAGATTCTTGTTCCTTGAACCTGTTCCTCTCATTCGTTTGCTTAACATCAGGGTAGACCCCCTTAAAATGGACAAAGACTTACCAGTTAGTGGTATACACAAGTCCCACCACATTCATCGGAACATTGTCAAAGGAGACGCAAAGCGGGAACGGGTAGAAAATGAGACCGACAAAGCAAACTGAAATATATTTCACTATTATAGACACAAAGGCTGTGGATAAAAGAAAGGAAAAATGAAAAACAGAAAGTAATAACGAGAGAAAGAAAACAAGACAGAAAAAAAGAAAGAAAATGAGAATGAAAAAAGCGTCAAAATAAATTTAAGCGATGATGAAACTCAATGTCTAAGTCTATCGTAGAATTAAACTTAATACTTGGAAATAAAACCATCAGTGAGTAAAACATAAATACATGAAATGAATGAAATATCACCAGAGATCTATCCGGATTTAAGTTTTAATGTATGAGCCAGGTTTCGAAAAGTTAACCGACTCCATGTTCTAATTTGGAGCAAAAACAAATTAAAATCTCTTCTTCATATATTACTTCAATGGCTGTATTTAAATATCTTGCACTGCATAACTTGCCGATGCCCTTGTAAGTATTTTATCAAATTTGTCATTGAAGGATTCCAATAGCCTATTATTTCACGATTTGATTATTATTAATTATAAATTAATTAATTTGATAAGTATTAAGGTTTGTTAGTTTGACATCATAAAGACTTTTCCCCTGCGAAATAAAGACCGGATCAATTGTCCCTGGAGCATTTGTGGGAAAATCCTCTTCCCCTCAATGGGTTGAGTCACGCTACACCATTGAATAATAATAACTAATGATAATAATCACTAAAAATAATAATCGTCATAATATTAGTAGTGGTAATACTACTTCGACAACTACTACTTCGAATAATGATAAAAATAAAAACAATAATAATAATAATAATAATAATAATAATAACACTAATAATGATAATGATAGTAATAACAACAATTTTCTTGTAAAGTGCACGTTATACTATCCACCACGCAATGTGCTCAAGAAGTTTTAGGACAAATCCCCCCTGGACAGTCACCCACGGAACATTACCACCCCCGAAAGATTACCAATAAGGAAAACCGTTCCACGACAAAAATTACCCCCAACCCTGTAAATTACCCCATTGGACAATTACCCCCCCCCCTCCAGGACAACCAAGGACACCTTTCAAGGGTGTAATTTTCAGGAGGGTTGGTTGTCCTAGGGAGTAATTTTCTGGGGGTAATTTTCCTTGGGGGTAATTGTCCAGGGGGTAATTGTCTTAGAACCTGCTCAAGGCACTCCAATATTACCCCGACTCTGCAAGGCTACCGATGTCGGTGCTCACGGCATTCAACGAATACCTTCCTACCGGTTACAAATTGACCGGGAAAATTGACACCTGGGTGGAGAATGGCAAATGTAGATAAATGTCTTGCCAAAGAACATTTATGCTGCGGTGGGACCTTACCTTCGCCGTTGTGGTCTATTTTTCCACCCGGTTTGGGGATTCCATTGATAAACAAATTGAAAACGACACCACTCATGGCGATGAAGGAGAGCAAATAGGCCAGACGATGATCATAATTCCTCAGAAAGTTTACAGGGCTGACAAAATAAAACCGAAATAATGATAACGACAACACAACTATAAAAACATATCAATATTATTATGATTTTTAAAATTATTTTTAGTATCATTATTATTATAATTGTTATAAGTATTAATATTATTGTGATCATCATTATCGTCGTCATCATCATGAAGATTAACATGTTAATATATATATATATATATATATATATATATATATATATATATATATATATAGACATCATGTGTGATTAAAAGATGAAAACAGTAATGGAATAGCAGCTGACGTGTAGCTTGGGTGAGATATATTGTGTGTTGCTTCGATGGAGAATGAAAACTTTGTGATTTTTTAAAACTGAAAAATGAGGAACGAGTGTATGTGGGTAGACAATACTGAACCACCTCTGAAGGTGGTTCAGTTTTAGGTTCAGAGTCGGATCGAGAGCCAGACGTCGCTACTCTGAACACGTCAGGCTTTTAAGGCGGGTTGAACCGCCTGCGGTTATTGTTTATACATACTACATAGACATTACTGCCAATTAAGATAAAAGGCATTACAAATTCCCGCTGTATTTGTATTGCCCCTAAGTATTCTTTAAATATCCTAAAAATATAAATAAAAGATATCTTTATCAATCCATCTATATGTCAGTCAATCTTTACCTTTCCCTTGAAAACCCTGACAAGAACTGCTCAACCTCAAGTCGCAGTATTTACCGCCCGCCCCCACAAACACACATACACCCAATTTTCAGTTCACTCCCACCGTTAAATCAGGAACAGATCATGTCCCTGGTTAAATAATGGATGGTTAAATAAATACATAGGCGTTTGGCGGGAATATTGTCCGTGGAATTCCCCGGTTTGCGTCGCTATTGAAATGATGTGTTGTTATAAAGCGTTCTCTCCCCCTCTTTCTTTCTTTCTCTCTCTCTCTCTCTCCCCCCCCCTCTCTCTCTCTCTCTATCTCTCTCTCTCTATAGATATGTCTTGCTCTCTCTCTCTTTTCTATGCCTAATATATTTGTCGCACTCACGAAACCGACACGAGAATAACAACAGACCGACAGTGGACCGAATTGTTTTTTGCATTATCCCTAATTATGACCAAAGGAAAGGAATATTCTACCCTGTACAACAAAATCCAAAGACTTCATGTAAAGGGAAAAAAAATACAATAATATTAATAATAATATAATTCGCATAAATTTGCATAATTAACCATCTAGAAGAGCCTTGTTTTTGGAAAGTTCTGTGGGGAGAATATCGAATGATAAGGATGAATGGATACTGACATTTATAATTTTTAGAGATAGAATATCAATACAATGTGGGCCCGATAATGACAGCTAAATTCATAAAACATTGCATAATGAACTATAAACACAAATTGAATTTGATGTGTTCTGTGGAGAAAAAATTTAAAACTTAGAATTTTATGTGAATGAAATCCCAATAAAAAGCATAAAATATGTACAAAGTAGCATTTTACAAAGATGGATGCCAGTCTTTTGATACATATGGTTCACAAGCACCAACTATTCCGCTTTTATAATTTTTGTTCCCAATTTTCATTTGATGGACCTGGCTATATTGCAAAAAGTAATTCAATAATATACTCCAATATTAACAATGTTTAAAAGGTAAGAAGAAAAAAAAATTGGTAAAAAATTGAATGCAGATAACAACAAATCCGAATCATATTTCATGTTAATTAATACAACCCCTCTAACCAATTCTCCATGAATATACTATTGATGGTCATACATTTATTAATTAAAATATAGCTTTGCTTTTCTGTTGTTGTTTTTATTTTCGTATAATAAAATCAGATAAAATACATAAAAGGTAATCATACAGAGAAGAAAGGACAAAATACGGCTTGTAGCCCATTTTCAGCTGTAACTACATGGTTGCTGCTGGCCTTACATGGGGCCAGTTTATACAATGTACAACATCTACATAATAAATGAACATGATAAATAATTACAAAGTATCAATAATGACTTACTAGACAAGACGTTTGCGCTGTCTTCTCCTGACATCCCCACACCTATCCCCATACTGGAAACAAGTCAGAAAGATGATCAGGACAATCTGTAGTAGAACAAATTTGTTGATGTTGTTTGGAACAAATACGATAACAGCAATATTACTACTACTACTACTAATAATAATAATAGTTATAATACTGACAATGATGATAATACTAATAATGATAAATATCAATAAATATAATGATAATTATAATGATAATAATGATATTGATAATAATGAAAGTTCATATATTAATGATCACCATGTTCATCTAAATAATCATCATTTAGATGGTGTAGGACACATTTTATCGAATTCTTACCCAATAAAACCCCAAAACATCATTGCGACCCTAACCTTTATAACCATGAAAGTGACATTTGTATAGCACTTGATAAATGTCAATAGGCCGTATACTCGAAAGCGAGCAATTGCTATTAGCCATATTCAGACAGGATTTTGCTAGTCGGCGTAAATTAATCCCTGCAGCAGTAAATACCTCATTTACAGTATATTTCGCTTAAAACTTGTCAACACGCTCTTACTCGGACCAACTTGCTACGATTAAACACAACCTTCCACCGACCAGCGTAACTTACAGAAATGGTGACGCCCGCACTAGCCGACCTCAACCCGACCCCGCATCTAAACATAGACCTAAACCGTGCAAAATCTAATTTTCATTTTCGATTGTAACAAACAACCCTCGTGAAAGGTCACATATACTTCCGGGTGTAAGTGAGAGCATCCACACGGTCAACTTACGCTACCCTTTAGTCGTGTTAGCGAGTTACTCCTGGAAAAAATAGGTCGGGGTAAAGGTAGGCGTAGCTAACACGACCATCGATCAGACGGTAACTACTCCGACTTTTACACCTACCTCCCCATATTTACCCCGACTAGCTCTTAACATGATCTTTACCCCGGGGTAACTTGCCTCCGTCTGAACAAGATAGCTAGGCTTTTGACATGCTGCAAATGCATGATGCTAAGCTGCCAATGCAATAAATCTTTTGTCTACAGACAATACTGAGAAGGAAAAAAGTTGGATCACTTCCCGGGGACATAGACAACAATGGTTGAGTGGTTGGTTTTGTTCCCCCATTCCCAGTAGCTGATAATGGTCATATCGTGAGATACCTTGCTCCACGTTTACAAACTTTCAAGTGTGCATCACGTTTGTACAACAGTACATCATGCGCAAACATGGACTTTCAACATGTACCCTTAACAAAGATTTTATCAAAGCCCCACATCACACCCTGAGCAAGTATTCTATTTTCTAAACCTTAACATACCCTAAACAACCCGGGAAACAATTGCATTTGTTATTTCAGGATTCCATGTTTGAGCCATTATGACTACTGGTAATTTTATTCATAAATGTTATTATTTAATATCAAGAGGTACTTGAAATGGCACACGCGTTTTTTTCGATCGCACTATACTAGTTCTGCATTTTGTGGATACCTAGATGAAAAAATTGAGTGTTATCAATCGCAATCCTGTGTATTCGTTTTTTCCCGAATTAAATATGGAAGGTCGAAAATCATGATACTTAACCTTTTTCCATCGTTAAATATCTTTTACTAGATGAAGACACTGATAAATCTCATCGAAACACTCACTTTAAATAATTTTCAGCACAGGCCCTCATGACTATGATAACCAGGATATAGAATAAAAGTCATTTCCTTTTTTTAAAGGATTCTTGTTACGACTGCTTCCTTTATGTCATAATTATTGTGCATCTTATATTTTGACTAACTTGAGACTGATAGAAAACATTCTACAATGTCCCAAAATATTTTTAAAAATACCGTTAATTTCGCTTATACTAAGCCCTTTATTTGACAATGAATATTATAAGGATACTGAGTCTAAGGCCTATGTCATATCAACAAACCCAATGCTCGCATTTATTTCGATGATATTGAAGTCATTCCTTGAAGTATAATTGCATATAATCCGAGTCTGATGTGATGTTGTATAGTGACGTAATGTTCAATAGCGTAGCCGGGGGGGGGGCGTGCATGTCCCGGGCGCCACCTTTAAGAGGGGCGCCAAATTAACAGTTGAAAAGAAAAATCAATGACAATTGTTGTTGATTAAACTGATACAGTTTTTTCTCATAAATACGAAATTCATCTTTCATAAGGGTTTCTAGTACGCTTTCTATATAAAATATCGATAGCTTCAGTAACATATTCGCACCATGGGCATTGCCATTTTTGCGCCCCCACTCTCACCGTTAAGGGGGAGGGCACTACTTATGCCCTGGGACGCCGATAATGTGTAATATTAATGGGTCATTTTTTTTAAATTACCTTAAATGGGCGCCGAAACTGATGCAAATTTAAGACCTAATGTATATGTTCACCCTCAACAATTGTAGATTTTTGTCAAAACGTGACCCCAAAATCGTGCGATTTGTATTTTAATGGGCTTTGGCAGTTTATCTAAATGTTTAATAAACTTATAAACCAAATCGCATTAAACCGTTAAAAAAAAAATTGACGCTACTAGGCCTAACATTCGGTAATCAAGATATTTTAGTATCATAAGTACCGACATTTTAAAATATTCTCGAGATATAACAAGTTATTTTGACTTTTGAAACGATTTTTATTTTGAGAGTGAAATGGATGATATCTTGTCGTAGCGACTATTTATCAAATCAATACAGACTTATGGGAAAAGGCTAGATAGCCCGGCTATCGAAAAACTTAAATATAAGTAAAAGATAAGTAGAGAATATTTACGTATCACTTAAACAAAATAAAATAATGAGTCCTTATATCAACTGATTTGTTTCTCCAAACTGGTTTGACAAATGGAATAAAATATATGCGTTTTAAGGTCTGAAAACCAAAGAGCTTCCGAACCCAGAGGCGGCAGAGCCTAGGGGGGGGGGGGCACAGTGCCCCAACTTTTTCAAGTACCCCTAAAGTACCCCTTTTACTTCAGATAAGTGTCCCTTTTTATTTTCAAATAGGTGCCCATTCTACATCCCTTATAAGGGCCTCTTTCCATCCTTTGACTATGATAATTGCCCCTATTTGAATCTAACGGGTAACCATTTTACTATAACAAGTACCCTTTATCCTTTTGATAAATGCCTCATTTCGTTTTTAAGAAGAGCCACTTCCCCTTCTAAGAAGACTTATTAAAAACTCTGATAAATGCCTCTATTGAGATCTCATGAATGCCACTCTTCCATCGACAAATGCCCATTTTTCATTGTAATAAGTGCCCTTTTCCATTTTAATATTATGTGCCCCGATTCATCTCAGGTGATTCCCCCTTTTCAGGTGCGAGGAGTGCCCCATTTTTACATCCGATAATTCTCCTTTTTACTTTGACATGTGTTCTTTTTCTTTTCTAATAAGTGTCCTTTTCTCTTTGGATATGTACCTCTATTCCTGTCAATGTGAAATGTGCTCCCATTTTAAAGCAACTCGTAGCAACTTTTTCTTTAATTTCACCCAAAGCTCGCTCGCATTTTAAAAGTAATGTAATTATGTTTCTAATTAAAGATACTTTTAAAAGTCTTTAATGATTAGATTAATTGTGCTTAAAACCGCATTAGGTTTGTTCTTTCAAATTAGTAAGATGTAAATTTTCGCACTGCGACCTTACAAATCTTAATTGTTTTGCTCCCTCGCTTCGCTCGCTCGCAAATAAATGTTCAGTCAATCACACCCAAATGCAATCAGCAGTATCTTGGACCGTGTACATAGAGAAGCAAACATTAAAACCATCCCTGATAATGAAATCACAATGTAGGGGTATATACCAATGTCTAAAAATTGTATATTTCTCTTTGAGACTTCCCTCTGTAGTTGCCAACGTTTTCCAGAAAGTGCCCTTTTTCGGTGGTGCCCCCCTCCCCACTTGAAAGACGCTCTGCCGCCCCCCCCCCCAAAAAAAAAAAAAAAAAAAAAAAACGGATTGACGCCACTGTGATGAGGCCTCCCTGGGTAAACACAAGTATTATAATTATAACTTACCGAGGCTACTGCATTGCCTGCCAACCATAATCCATTAAGATAAAGATATGTAGAACTAGAAGCACAACGCACTGCCTCTGGATTGTTATAATTCTCCGACATCTTGGGTATGAATCGCCAGAATGAATTGTGTACTTAGCAATACTCCGATACAGCACCTCCACAAGCATGCGAATGTAATACATGTATAATGAACATGCCTATAAATAGCGCGTCAATTCCGGGTTCAATGATGTTCTTTAAAGTGCATCGATGCATATCGTATAACTTGGCACACACCATGGAATTTAACAATGCTGATGGGGGTACCACGCCGGACCCCATTGAGTTGTGTGCTTTGCTCCAGTTGAAACCGGTACCAGGAACTGTGGCATATTTAGATAAAAATGGGTTTTAAAGAATTACTAGGTTATGTTGGTCATAAAGGTGAAATAATTATGTTTACCCAAATTTATGGAATAATTTTGACAATGATTTATTCCTTATAGATCTAGATAATACTATACATTCTCAAATTTTATTGAATAATAAGTTGCGCATGTTTATTTAGCGTAACTGCTTAAGCATGTGTATGCTACTATGCTTATCAACTAGAGGACCTACGTCTTTAAGTCCTAACTGACAGTAATGAGGGTTAACGCCTCACAAAAGGCATTAATATAGCATATCGAAACGGTTTTTATCCTGGGGCAGTTACGAGGCAATTGCTTAAATACTCTGTACGGCCAAGCATTATGAAAATCAATAAAATCCCTGTGTAGGGAAAAATATGGGGAAAAAATATTTTCAGTATTGGCGGGAGGGGGGAGGGGGGCTGGAGAGGGGCGGAGGTGTGTAGGGGAAAACTATGAAGCCTACCAGCCACTATATTGTGGAGCATGTTAAATCATTAAAATCCAGGTCTCATCTTATGTATTAATATTATTTTAAAGTTGAACTTCAAAGAAAATCACAAATATGTCAACTAATGTATGACTAGAAACTGGTAAGCTAACAGATGGCCATCGTACAAGTTTTAGGTCAACTACATATCGGGTGATTTATAAAAATACAAATACAACCACCGGCATAGCAGCTGGGATATACGAGAGATTCGCCGGAAAAATAAAGATGTTTTAATGACGTCACTATATGGACCAATACTGCCCAAGCAGACGACATCCCATAGAGAATGAACATAATTGCAAAGCTTTTATTTGTCAAATTATAATGAGTTTAGTGTATATAAATGTGATGGCATGTCAAACCATTCAAAAGGGGATATGACCCGATTCCGATAACTAAAATCTTTTGCTTGTAAATACACAGGATAGGGGTTAATTAACAGTCAAAGAAACCAGACTTTCGAATTGAAAACCCCCGGAACGATGTTGAGGACGGCATTTGTTCCCTCTTGAAACGCCGAACATACCGCGGTGTGTCCAGCTGAATATTCAATGGCGTCTTATTTGTTTACAAGCGACAAATTCCTTTATTTTTGTATCGCTGCATTTGTCATCAAAATAAAACCATGTGCGGGGTTAAGAGTGAGGCAATAGATTATACATTTAGCCTGACGGTAGTGGAGTAAGAGAAAGAACTCAAGAAAAGATGAAAACACAGGCACTGAAAATGTGTGAGATGTCATGGGACATCGTCTGCTTGTGCAAGTCATGTCCATACTGTGATCTCACGCATCTCAGCAGCGTTCGGGGAGCTCTTCAGGTGCTATGACGGGGCTGTATTTAAGCGTTTTATAATTTATAATAATCATTATTTCGAATGTTTCCAAGCATTGAATTTTGATAACCTTGTCGAATCAACGTTTCAACTTTGCAATAATGAAATTAAGTTAGTTTTTAAAATCAATAAACATCAACTTTAACCGATCGCTTAAATTTGCTTCTATAAATACATCGTATTTCTAATGGATAATTGTACCATGGTACCATAGAAACGAGAATTCTTTATGATCTATTCAATTTATTTGGCATGATAACAAAAATAAAGTACTGCTTGTAAGTGTCGGCTTGCATGGTGATGTAGATATACAGTAGGCTTGCGGGTGCACCATGTGTGTGTGAGAGAGAGAGAACGAGAGAGAGAGAGAGAGGATTGAGGAATCCTGAAAAAGGACTCTGACTCGGTAATCTTTCTTGGGGTGTGTAGTCCTGAAAAGGACTGTTTGTTAAGCTTGCTTATAGTTCTAAGGAGAACTATAGCGCTTGGAGAGGATGAGTGGCTCAACGTTTCGAACAGGTTGACTATCCGCAAGCCTACTGTATACAAATAAAGTAGGCTACGTATACGAAATATTGTATATATAATAGGCAAGGGGGTGTTTCACAAAGATCCTGTTAAGTCAAACTTAACTCTAAGATGAACTTAGATATTATGGAGAGCCATATTAGCCTTAAAATAAAATATATTCAAAAGCGAAAAATCTAATATTTTAGACTTTTTATAAATTCCACATCAAGAATATGAAAGCTCCTTGATATTAGAATATATGAATGATTTGAATCAACATCTTATGCCTAAACTTTTACATAATATTTTCATAGCTGCTAACGGCTTTCCATAATTGTAAAGTACAACTTAGAGATACGTTCAACTTAGGATCTGTGTGAAACACCCCCACATGACCCCTAAGAAGCAACTTGTGCTCGTAAATGAGGTCCCTCACAAGTTAAACTCAACATCATTTTTTTTTAAATTCAATTTTACAAGCTACATAGCATGTACAAGTACAGTATATCACAAAAAACGACCATTAACTACAGCAGCTATCTACCTCATACAGTCTCATAATTTAATCTACCACATGGTAGGGCCCATGGTCTCATAGACTATCACATCCACAAACGTCACATTCTATTTAATACATCAATGTTGTCATGCAAATCAATTCAAAGTTTGGGTTATGTTCAATATACAAGTACCCATACACACTCGCAAACACGCACACACACACACACACACACGCACACACACACGCACATGCGCGCGCACACATTTACAAAAAGTAATTTTGTTTTATTTCTCTAAATGTGTGATACAAACAATTACATACAATTGAATAAAATAAACGTTTTCAACATCAATTGATTATACATAAACATAATTAAACAAAAAAACTTATTTCCAGTATAAACTTATAAGTACCTTAACATAATATATATGTCAATTGTATAAATGTTATTCAATTATAATTTAAAAACTTAAACAAATCTGGAGGTTACTTTACTGGAACAATGCCTGCTCCTCCCTGCCCCTCCCTCACACAAACACACCCCACCCCCACACGCGCACACAAACACAAACGCACGCACACACACACACCCACGCACGCATCACCCAATTCTCCGTTCACTCTCACCTTAATTGAATGTAAACATAAATTGAGAATTTTGAGAGATGGAATATCAATACCAATATCAATACCAATATATAATGTAAGGCTTGACAGCTGACTTCAAACAATGTTCATAATGAACTATAACGACAAATTTTAATCGTATATGCTCTTGTGGAGAAACACTTAAGTGTTAATATTTGAATGCCAATGTAATCCCACCGAAACGCATGAAATCTGCACAAAGTAGATAAGTAGTATTTGTTTAAAGATGGGTGCCAGTGTTTTGGTACATACGGCTCACATGTAACACGTATTTGGCTTTTGTAAAATTCTTTTCCCAGTGTTTTTGTAATGAACCTGACTATTTGCACAAAATAATGTAGTTCATAATAATGTAGACCCCATCCGAAAACGGATTGGGTCGAGGGGCTAAGCCCCAACGGGGGGTAGCAGGGAGCGGAGCCCTCTGAAGCTGTTGGATTTTAGGGCTTTCTAAAGGCCCAAATGGAGCATTTTTAACACCATTTCATTCCACAATATAATCAATCCTAATTTCATATTGATGTGAACAAAATAGTACAATTCCTGGGTACATTTACACTGGAGGTAAATTTGTACGTAGTTTTTAGGGTGCAATAAACACGGGAAATGTCAAAATAAAGTGAAAATCAATCAAACAAAAACAAGATGTTTCCAGAGAATGGCAATGTTAAAATAAGTAGCACATCGTAAGCTAACTGTTGTTCAGAGATTAGGTTTAGAGTCGTATAAAATGGTAAAAAACGATAAATTCCCTCTTCCTTCCTGTTTGTTAAACAGGCATTTTGGGTTCGAATTCGACAGCAAGTTCTTGATTTAGCTGAGTATTTAGTTCTAAAATATATATTTCTTTCTGTTTTTTTGTTGTTGCAACAGTCGCGCGCAACTCCGACCGACCGCAAGCGCCACAAGTTGAAAAGGCCTGTCCTAAAGGATACAATAATGGCCGCTGGCCGTGTTAGCCGGGTGAAAGGTATAGAGGGTCTATAGTAATTTACTCCGGGCCTTCTATATAGCGGTCGCTATATCGACAGTTGGCCGCAATAATAAGCTTACATCATTAATAACAATTCTAAAATAATATATCATAGGATTTCCATTTTTGAGAAGGAATACAAGATGGACTAGGTTTTCCAGGACCGCAAAAATCTACAATGGAACTATTACGACAAAGCAAATACGGATACGTTCCAGAGATATAATGCGGTATTTGCATAGGTTATAGGAACTAACATTTTGATAAACTCTGGAGTTACTAAATCGACCCTCCAGCCACAAATTGACCGGTTTTCAACACTTTTCGGCCCGTGGAATGAGATTTTCCTATCATTCCAGTTCGCTCCTGATCATAAAGAAAAATATTTATTAGTAAGCGTTGATGTGCATTGGTGGCCGCTATCGACAGGTGGCCGCAATAACAAGCTTACATCATTGATAACAATTTTACAATATTATATTATCGAATTTCCATTTTTGAGAAGGAATACATGGAGGTCTAAGTTTTTCAGGACGACAATATCTACAATGTATATTGGTTGAGAGCGTACACGTGACCAGGCATTGATTTTGCCTAACACGTAATTTTTATAATGACCGGTCATTAGTAAAATCATGTTATAAAACATCATTTTATAAAACAAATTAAACATAATCTTATAAAACTGAAAATAATCATAATTTCATTTGAGTATTAGTATAATTACCTACACTCGGCCTGCAAAACAGTCCACACACCCTCGGCTATCGCCTCGGGCGTGTTAGACTGTTCCAAAGGTACCTTGTGTGGGTTATTCTTACTAATGCCCTCAATGTATATTGTTAGGGACATTTTTTAAATAAGGCAAGTGTGTTTGATCAACTTAAATTGATTGAAGTCCAGGCGCGTACGCAGGGGGAGGGGGGGGATTCAACCCCCCCCCCCTTGAAAAAATCCTGCATACGCCACTGGGTAAGTCATTATACATCCTAGATCCGCGATAGCTGATCATCCATGTTCTCGAAAGAGGCCTCCTCCTCCTTCGCCATCTGTAGTTTTGATAATGACCGGTCGTTAGTAAATTCATGTTATAAAACATCATTTTATAAAACAAATTAAAAATAATCTTATAAAAACAAATTAAAAATAATCTTATAAAACAAAAAATACACATAATTTTTCCGGCATTAGTAAAATTACCCACACTCGGCCTTCAAAATAGTCCAAACACCCTCGGCGTGTTCCAAAGGTACCTTGTGTGGGTATTTCTTACTAATGCCCTCAATGTATATTGTAAAGGCCACTTTTTAAACAAGGCAAGTGTGCTAGATCAACTTGAACTGACAGGTTAGTTATTATACATCCTAGATCCGCGATAAATGATCATCCCTGTTCTCGAAAGAGGCCTCCTCCTCCTCCTCCTTCTCCACCTGCATCTGTTTCTTGAGTTCATAATTTGCCGATATCGTCATTCCAATTGCGCTTCCGACGACCAAGATCGCTCCGACAACTGTCCACGCATTGGGCACGATGTGGAAAATAAGAAAGTCGAAAACGAAAGCGAGGAAAATATCATTAGTTCGAATAATGGAAACAACAAGGGCCGGTTCGGTCTTGAGAGCGAGTGTCACTGTTACCTGCTCCAGGAACCCAGATACTGCCAGCCCTATTACAAACCAGCGGTCAATCCCGCAGTGAGGGGTCGTCCATTCACCGAGTGCTGTGGTCACGGCACAACTGCAGAACATGGCAATGAATCCATAGATGAATATGATGGCGTGTGCATCGATGCGTAAGATCTGCATGAATCGCAAAATGATGGTGTTCCCGGCCATGACAACAGCACCCACGATCGCGCATAGTATTCCAGTCAAATTTCCGATGTCACCACCGCCGAATATGAACGGTGGTTGAACAACAAGGGTAACGGCGATGACGGTGAGAAACGAGAAGAACGCTATTGCAACTGAGCAATGTTCACCCAGACAAACACGTGCAAAGATACCAGTAAATAGCGGTGAACTGTACAGCAACGCTTTAGCAGTTGCGACTGGAATGACTTGAAACGCGAAGTAGTTCAGAAATGCACTAAGAGATCCAACTAATGCTCTCGACAATATCAGCATTACTATTTTCAAAGGGAACCGAAGTGAAATCCTATAAAACACCAGATGGGGCAGAGAAAATATTACTTGAGCAAGCCCGCGGAAGAAGAGTATCTGAGTAGCTGCCACTTTACCTGTAAGCAGTTTGATACATAAGGAACATGCTGTAGCAACTAAGACGGACATGATGGCCCAGATCACACCTCTATGATGGTACAACGTCCCAATAATAACTGTCCATGAAGACACAGATGGAGGTGCAATACTGTCGCTGCGGACATTGTCATCACTTGTCGTACTCTCCTTGACGTTAACATCATGATAGTCGATGTCATTATGTCTTTTCTGGCAGTCAGTTTTCTTTCGCTTGAACATTATTCGAGACTGCTGAATATCCTACGAATGCCGCTTATAGCCGTCCTCGTGGAGTGATATTTCACCAAGTTCTGTTTACCTGCATTCAATAAATTTTCAACAAAACTTCAGTTTCCATGCAATCATGGGAAGCTCTGTTATTAATGTGACACACAGCGAAGATGATTTAATCCAACAATGGTTCAATGATGCCCCGGCGATAAATTACTCCGAGCTGAATATACACGTAAAAAAAGAGGGCCATAAAAACCCTTAAACCATTAACAGGTTCTTTGTTCATCTCACAATGGTCACTTTTTACATGTACTGTTCAATGAATTCGCACAATATCATACAACGTACGCCTTGAAATCATTTTAGATTTCACTTGACACATCAACAAATACGCACCCAACTCCCACTCGCATACACGCACACACACATGTTAATAAGAAGCCTTCTGATGTGTAACTCGAAAATACAGTTTTCATTGTAAGAGCAAGCAATTGTTTAGTTTGAAAGGGTTTCATATCAACGTTATTTGCACTGTTGACCTATCATAAAGGACACTGAAATTACGAGCTTATTTATAGCATCAGCAGCGGTTGTAGTTCGGATATGGATGTTATCATTTTGGTGCCTCGTAGTCTTATATGCAGACTAACAGCTGCGAAATCTGTATCTCCAATTAATAATAATAATAATATTAGATTCTTATATAGCGCACGTATCGACCTTGGAAGGTCCTCAAGGCGCTCCAACATTACCCGGCTATGCTAGGCTGCCGATTTCGACGCTCACAGCATTTTAAGGAATTCCTTCCAATCGGTACCCATTTAACACCTGGGTGGAGAGTGGCAAATGTAGATCAGGGAGTGCAAGCTATAGCTATGGAAAATATTACGTCTTTACATTAGAGGTCGTATTCCCCAGTGAAGAGAAGAATAAGATAATGATGATCATGATAGTCATGATGAGGAAGAAGAAAAGGAAGAAGAAGAAGAAGAAGAAGAAGAAGGAGAAGAAAACACTTAATTCAACCATAGTGTGCGAGATGAAATCTTATATAATGCTTACTTGGGGTGGGGGTTGGGGTTGGGGGGGGGGGGGTTCCCTTAATATTCTCGAATTCAGAGGAAGTATAGTTCCCCCAAAATCGTAGAATTCAAATGACTGGAATTTTGTTTTGCAGCTAGGGTTTGGTTTTTTTCTTCACAGGGTATATATGCCACTCTCCACCCAGGTGTTAAATGGGAACCGGTAGGAATTATGAATTCCTTGAATGCTGTGAGCGCCGAAATCGGTAGCCTAGCAGAGCCGGGATAGTATTGGAGCGCCTGAGCACCTTGCATGGTAGATATGTGCGCTATATAAATAACCGATATTATTATTATACATATTCACTAAACAAAGAAACAGAAGTTGATAAAATAAACATACATTTATTTTTAATAACAAGCTTTACAAAATTCGTAAAGATTCTCCTAAAAGATACAATCATGGCCGCTGGCCGCGTTAGGCAGGTGACCGGTACAGAGGGTCTACAGTAATTTACTCCGGGCCTATAAGGTTCTATATAGCGGTCGCTATTATCGACAGTTGGCCACAATAACAAGCTTACATCATTAATAACAATTCTAAAATAAAATATCATAGAATTTCCATTTCGGAAAAGGAATACACGGTGGATTAGGTTTTCCAGGACCGTAATATCTACAATGTATATTGGAACTATCACGACCAAGCAAATACGGATACGTTCCATAGAGATATAATGCGGTATATACACTCTTGCATTGGTCATAGAAACTAAAATTTGGATAAACTCTGGAGTTACTAAACCGACCCTCCAGCCACAAATTGACCGGTTTTCAACACTTTTCAGCCCGTGGAATCAAATATTAATTTCATTCCAGTTCGCTCCTGATTATAAAGGACAAACATATATAAGTTAGAGTTGATGTTGTGCATTGGTGATTAATTGTTTCAATGTTCAGTTCAGGACGACCAGTTCAGCTTAAAAACATGATGCAAGTACTAAAGAAATAAAGGCTACTTTATTATCTTCGTGCGTCACGTAGACGAACAGGACAAGGACATGTTACGCAATCAGAATATGAATAATAACTATATAGGTAATACATTGACTTTGCTGATAAGTTAATTTCTTTAAAATCTTTGCGACCGTCTAAAAGATTCAGGATTTTGCGGTCTTTCAGAACGGAAACAATCAAAAAAGAAATGATAAGGTTGTCAAAATTTCCCATTTCGAAATGAAATACATTATAGCCCCCCCCCCCCCCCATTACAATGCTTCCTGATCCCCGATATGGTCTTCAGATTGGACTCTCGCATCTAATCGCCGCTTGTTCTCTCGATGGGCCGAAACAGTCATTCCAATTGCGCTTCCGACGACCAAAATCGCTCCGACAACGGTCAAGGCATTTGGAACGATGTCAAACACAAGGAATTCAAAGGCCAGTGAGAGGAATACATCGTTAGTTCGAATAATTGATACAACCAACGTGGGTTCTGTCTGGAGAGCAAGTGTAAGTGTTAATTGTTCCAGGAATCCAGCGGTTGCTAGTACGATTACTAAGCAGCGGTCCATCCCACATTGAGGATTCGCCCATTCTCCGAGTGCCACTGCCATTATTCCAAAACAAAACATTACAAAAATTCCATAGATGAAAATTATCAACTGTGCATCGATTCGCAATTGCTGCATATATCGCAACGTAATTGTGATCAAAGACACGCCAACGGCGGTGAAAACAGCGCACAATTAAGATGCCAGTAAGTTTTCCTTCCGCGACGTAGCCTTTACCAAATATGAAGGGTGGCTGAGCAACAAGGGTTACAGCGATTACCGTGAGGCAGGCGAAGAACACTTTTTGAAATGAACACCGCTCTCCAAGAAACACACACGCGAAGATACCTGTTAACAGAGGAGAACTGTAAATAATTCCCTTGGCTGTAGCGACTGGGACAGCTTGATAGGAGAGGTAACCCAGAATTCCTCCGAGAGACCCTATCGATGCTCTGGCTAGTATCAGCAGGGTGAATTTAAGTGGTAAGTGTAACGACACCCTGTAATGCATTAGATGTGGCATAGAGAAGAGTACCTGAGCAAATCCGCGGAAAAACAACGCCTGGCTTGCTGCCATTTTACCTGCCAGGCTTTTGACACAAAGAGCGTATGCAGTTTAAAGGCAGATGGATGCGACGGCAGATGGATGTGTCGGTACAACCTTCCAAGAACTACTCTCCACGAGGATTTAGATAGCGCGATGGCATTCACGCTGTTGATGTTGTCATAAGCGACATCGACCCTGTGATCCTTAACTCCATGATAGTCAATATTATCATGTTCATTTTTGGAGTCAGTCGTATTTCGTTTTAACATGATTTCAGATGACTATATTTTCATACAAATCAGCATTTCTATTCCTGAGCACAGAGTCGAACCATATATTCTCGAAGTATCACCAGAAACACAGACAGTGCGATAGACATAGGTTAACTACAAGTCTACCATCTTCTGGATTCATGGACGTCCGTAAACTGCATGCGACTAAACATCGGGTGATTTTTTTCCAGGACACTGATGCATATAAATGGACGGACTATATCAGAGGGGACTCAATTCGTCGGAGTTTAACTTGGCTCAAGGGACGCTAAATTGATTAGGCAAGTTTTGATCTTTATCGCCTTACACCCATTGTACTTTGACCAAGTCAACGTGATAAATATATTTTTAAAGATTGTCAACATGCCTTCACTGAAAGCAAATATTATCGTTATTTGTCCACTACAAACGTCCTTCAAGGACGTAGAGCTAAGAGATAAACTAATAATGCCAGTAAACATGTCCAATGTATCAAATCTCCAATAATCTTGCGGAATAAATACAAATCATGTTGATGCATTCGTAGTCAGGTAGTGCCCGTAGTGGCAAAACGTTTGATAGGTCAGTACTCTATGGATAATGAACGTACGGTACACGTTCGAAATTGAAACCAACTATTAAATCATTTTAAATGTATATTTAGGTGCTTTGTCACACAATATATATATATATATATATGACGTGAGTATATGGCGCTAATATATGACTTGAATACATTTTTTCATTTCATTTTATTTATTCATTTAAGCACGGTCACTCTCTCAGCCTTAACGGTTGATTTTCAGAAAGTCCGTGACTGAACAAAACAAAATCAAGTAACAAAAGATAACAAAACATAGAAATATGCTAAATAATCGAATCAAATCAACAACTAAAAACAAACAAAGAAAACATGAATTATTATAATGTACAAAATACAAATGAACAGTAATGAATAAAAAGTAGATATTTAACAGAGAAGTGTATTGTCAACCGAGAGTCTGATTGACTCTCCTCCCAAGGGTCAGCCCCCCCCCCCCCGCTACCTAGGTGGTGACATGATGTGTTTTCTAAAAACATTTTTGTTCTCTATGGTTTTCAGTTCCTGTAAAATTATGTTCCAGCATTTCGCTCCTCTATAACTTAACCACCTTATTTTATAATTCGTTTGGCCTTTAGGTTATGCGAAATTATGAAAAGAGTGTCAGGTATTATACACAGGGTTGCGCTTTTCAAAGAAACGAAGAATAGGTTTGGTACATTATTATAAAATATTTGGTGCACCACTATTAATGTCCTTTTTTAAAATCTTTCTAAAATGTTATCTAAATTCAAAAGTAGGAACAGCTGATCTGTTGGGAATCTTGGGTCTTTCCTTAAAACAGCTTTTAGCGCTTTATTTTGTAAAGTTTGAAGTTTTCGTAAGTTCGTAACCCTTGTGTTTGCATAGACTATATCACACTAATCAAAATGGCATTGTATCATGGATTTATAAATTTGGATTTATAAATACAATGACTTGAATACAATGACTTGAATATATGACTTGACTATATGACTTTCATACTCATAAGTTGAATTCCCATACGTATTAAACACTCATTGTACTCAACGTGTCTTTTGCGGCGATAATGAATGTTCGATACAGTTGGGTACATGCTATTATTAATCAGTATTCCTCTAGATGCACCCATAAAAGCGAAGGGATGTCACTTTGAAAGAAATTTTAACTTTCCTAATGGTTGCCGTTAATTTTTTGCTCCACACGTAGGGCAGTCAGAAAACACATTCTAGCTTTCCATCTTAAGTTCATCTTTCCTCCCAGTTGTCATCTTATTCGGATATTATTCCAATCACAATACAGTTGTCAGGTTTCAATTGTGATTTATTATGTCCGCATTA